TCCTGGTTGGAAAACAGCCTACTTGCACTGGAAACACTCTTGCCAATGTCGGCTAGGGAGCGCAAGTTGGACTTCTTGGTCTGGTGCCGATGCTTCCGTAGCAGCGTGTACATGACCTTCTCCTTCAGGTCTGCCTTCAGCTGACCGGTCTCAATCTGGCTGTCGGTGATCAGCTCTGTCAGAGGGAGAGATTGAAGATCAAGATTTGAGTCACCCATGGGTTATTCGAAAGCATCGGGAGTGTGCCGGCATTCCGGTCTATCACACTTACCGACAACCTGTGGCAGTGTGGAGGCCTCCAGGTCCAGCATGATGGTGCCCTTCTCGATGCACGTTTTGAGTTCCATCAAGCTGTGCAAGGACAGCGTGGCCACATGAGGCTTACTCCAGCGCTCGCCACCCTTCTCCACCTTCTCCTCAAACTTGATCCACCTGGACAGGGACAAAAGTAGGGAAAGTGTTGAGATTCTTTCTTTCCTCAAACAGGTTCCTGAAAGTAAAGGTCACTGCAAAATATAAATAAAAGTAGATTACAGTGGCTTTATACATTTATGAACAAATATGGGCTACAAACAAAAAGGAGACAAGATGGGTTCTCTTTTCTTTACAAAACAACCCCACTATGTTTTGAATTGGCCACAGTTCACAAGGTTAAAATAGGGGACGCAGGACAGCGTAGAAATGAAAAATAAATAACCAGACGTGAGAATATACACAGCATGCTGGAATGGCGACAGCCTATTGTAACTTTTACAACACACATGACTAAACATGAGAAACGTGACTGACATTACTACCATGGATGAACTTAGCCTTAAAGGTAAGACTCAAGACAAGGATTCTTTTTAATAATAATGCCTCACATGTCACCACCACAAAGAGCCATTCTCCTAAAGCCTGAGGATGGGGTTTCCTCTGGGGATAGAGTATCCCTCTGGCTGTGGTCCAGACGCCTGTGACCAGCCGTCTTACTGGGAGAGGAGCCTGACCATGGAGACACTGCCGAACTCAAGGAGTTAATTTATCTTTCCTTTAATATACCCCCCCCTTTTCCCTTCCTAAACAGGACAAAGATATAAAAAAAAAAAAAAAAAGTAAAAGTATTGGTGGTATTCCTTAGGGACACCAACTCAAGCACTGACAGTTCAGTCGGAGACTCAGGTGTGTTATGCTAGTAGTAGTTAATGTAGCCTCGGCCTGTGGTCTCAAACAGAGATGAGGAGCGGGCTACGGAGCTCTGGTAAAAAGTTAATACTCCCAAATAATTTGAGTTTAAAAGATGTAGCCTTTAGCCCGAACCAATGCTGACTCAGGTGACTTCACTTGAGGAAGTTTATCAGACTTATGCATATACTTGTATGCATTAGGACACCCCAAGACCTGCAAACAGACTTTGATGTGTAAAAATCAGTGGCGATCCCCTTTAACAGAATATCAACTTTACTGTTCCCCTGTAGGGAAATATAAAATAAAAAAAATCATGACACATCAATGAGTTTATCTATTAGAGAATACAAACTAATGTGAAAGTTGTAATGTGATGTTAAAAAGGTTACAATGTCCTTGCCAAAATATTGCATGACTGTGCCTGTGCCCTACTTGCTAACCTATCTGTGGCATAGCTGTGTATCCCTCAGACCCAGATGAGCCTTTCACCCACAGAACATTTGACTTTGTAATACTGAAACTATGTCTTAATCTTTCTTATCCAATCAAACTGACAAACATGTCACATGTTGACATTACAGAACGATTTAAAAGCCATTCTGGACATTAACATAGGCAATTATTAAAGAATGATATCCACATTTTGATAGACCAAACTTCATGTGCTCCAGAGCCAACTGTAACGTTAAGTCTTGTTCTGACCATGTGGGAGTTTCTGCCTTTTCCTGGTCCCACAGAGCAGGTACTACAGATCTCGATCAGATAAGAGTAGACTGGGAGTTCACTGGAGTACAGCCTATTTCCCTACACATACAAAACACTCTTATTCATAAGGGATTGTTTTCCGCTGACTGCACCGGGATTGTAAAGCAGGAAATTTTTGACTACACTGCCCATGGCCCTTAATGTAAAAAAAGAAAGAAAAAAAAAAAAAAGGGGGGGGGGGGTTGTTGACAGATCTCATGCTTGGCTTAAAGGACATTCAGCTCAGCGGCTCACCTGGCTGTCTCCTTCCACTCCATCTCCTGCCCGTCCACAGCCAGCAGCTCGTCCAGCTCGGTGAAGAGCTGAGGTGGTGGGGGACCATCGTCCTCCTCTCCCAGGATAAACCTGATCCTCTCAGCTGGAGAAACTGCAGGAAGAAATTGCAAGTTAGGGACCAACAATAAATTCTGCTTGATGTTTTTTTTTTTGATGCCCCAGAAACTGTCAAAGATTCCATCCAGTGGAATTTAATACTGAAGCTCAAGTCTAGTTTAGCATGATTAAAAATGATGGTGTTACTGATATTATAAGTATATGTGACTGCTATGCAGCCTTCTGGTTGGCTGTGAATTGACCTACTTAAGTAATAGGCCAGCTGCAGATACTAACATATTGTTTAAATAGTTACAAATAGTACATGAAGTTACATCATCATGTAAAACACTCTCTGATTCCCCAATAGCTCTGACACAAGGTGTTTTTCACAGACTTAAAGCTAGCTTTATGCTGCTATTTTGTCATACATGTTTAGTTGATGAGTAGTGTTTTATACAATATCTTAACATGTTTGTTTCTGGTCATATTTATATGCAGGGAATGTAAAAACAGCCTCTCCATGCATGACAAACATCTCTTGACCAGAGCTTGAACACATGAAAAAGATCTGGTATTTAAGCAATAAGGAAAAACTGACAACACACCCTCATGAGGAAGAACATTTCCTTGATGTATAACTTTGACTTCCTTCTGAGAAAGGTGTGACAAGATCAAGGTCACCAAACTGACCTGTGAATATTTGTCATTTAAAGTAAATGCGGCCTCCTCTAGAAGAAGTTGTAGACATAAGTAGCTATGACCTCGGGATTCTCCATGTTTGGCAAGAACCCTGTTCCCACTTATACAGTAAAAAGATAATCCCAATATTTTATATCCTGCATATGAATGGGTTATGCAGCAGAAATACTTATTCTTGTTAACACTTCTAGGAATGTTGTGCAACTGTGAAGCCATGAGACAAATTGAAGGTTAAGTGGTAAGTCAGAATAGGCTATTTATGTACCCTTCTACTGATACAATGTACCAGCCAGTCAGGATTCCACGAGGATACCTAGACAACCTAACAGTGCCTGTAACCTTTTAATCCTGACACAGTGCAGCCAAGCTTAATTTAGGTTGATTGGTTTTAAAATAGTACTCTTCTACTGTAGGGAGAAAATCTAATGTTAAGCTAGACAAAGGTCAAGATCAATGTCTTGGAAACGGCTTTAGGATACGGAACACTTTTTGTGTTTCCCCATCTCGTACAGCAGCATTATTGTGCAGTGCACACACACACACACACCGTCATCGTCAAACAGCCCAAAACAAACACACACGATCTTTCAGTCTTCCTCATGAACACGGGGGCCTTTCTGTTGTCCATTTGCTGGCTGGCTGACTAACTAACAGAATCTGACTTTTACCGCGACACTTCTTGACGCCACATGGTGTACACAACACCGCTCACCTCTTAAGTCTCACAACTGGTGTTATCAATGAAAACCAGGCCTTTGTTGTGGTTACACACAACTTTTAAGTGGACAGCTCCACAGGGTTTGCCAGAATCAACAGGATTATGGGGATTTAGATGGAGGGCAAAACAGCGGAAAATCCAACAAGTGGAGGGCTTCATATGCACTGTCTAGCAGTGTGTGTTTTGAACAGCGGCTTTGTCGTCTGGCACACGTCAGCCTGAACGCTACCCACACATCTCTGACCATTATCTCGCATGCATGTTTATGTGCCGCTATAGCGCACACACACACACACACACACACACACACATTACCCACTACCTCGACAGTTTCATGCATTTAGGGAACATAATTTGAAAAGTAAGGACGCATATATGCCTTTGCAAGTATCATAATGCACTTCAAATTCATTTCTAGTGAGCTAGAGGTGGAAGCAGAAGGACAGTAAGAGGGTAAAGGCAAGTTAGCAAAAGGCAACATGCTCTCACTAAATAAAGGAGAAAAATCTAATATGAAAATCTTTGCAGGGAGTCACTGAAGTGGTTTACTGCTCAACAGGAGAAAAATGTTTATCCCAACAGTGGCTCTAGCCTCATCATACAGTTGGTCCTGCCCTCTCATTCAACCATACAAGACTGTTTAGAGTCCAGATCTTCTACAGAGATATGGAAGGATGAGGAAGACGTAGGAGTGTGAGTGTGAGTGTGAGTGTGTGTGTGAGTGTGTGCGAGTTAGAGGGGTCAGGTTAAAAACCTGCTTCTGTGTTTACTTTGGTTCCACATCTGTCCCCTCCCGCCTACTGATTTACAGTCTGATTCTATGGATGAACAACCAGCAACACTGTTTGCATTTACACGAATGTTGCCGTGTTTAAACCATACACACCTAAATGCAACAGGGTAAATTAAGGGCATTCATTTAAGATGACAGATTTGGAAAGGTCTTTAAAGGAACAGGCTGTATCTGTAATGTTGACCGCTACTGACATTCAGGTCACAATTTATGATAAAATACACAATTTCCACCGCTACCGTTCTGAGTTTTACGACACTGATAATGCTTAATTGAGCAGGGATTAGTTGTAAAGCCATTATCAACAAATACTTTATCTAATTGCCTTTTATAGGTATATTGGTCTATCTGTTGCTCCAGTACCTTATGTAAGAAATGTCTAACTATTGGAAGAGGCTACAATTGTTTAAAAAAAAAAGATCCATTACAATGCTGTTAACCTTTTACACATACTTTACCTTCAACCAAACTTTGACTCAGAGTAATCAGATACGGCCTACAACATCTACACAGAGATTAACGTGAGCATAACTCTTATCATATCATGGCACCTTCAGATGACTAAGCACACAGACTGGTTTACACCTGAGTATGAGGTGTAACAAAAGGAGGATTACAGCGTCAGAAGAGCTAGCAGTGTGAGAGGATTAGTACTTGTCTGCTGCATGTAGTCTGTGAACCAACAGCTTGATGTGATGCTGGCATGATCGAGGACGGTGTGATAGTAGATGGGTAAACAAAACCAAGATGAGGAGGAAATTTCCCCTCCCCTGATTTCCCATGCTAGACATTACAGATCTATCACCCCACTTAATACTAAACTGACATTCTCATCGCTACTGATCTGGATCAACTTGTGAATCCAGTTCAAATCCAGATTCAACTATAAAAACAGCCAGGCACTGAATAAATGAACAATCGCATGTTACAACACAAGGCTGTAACAGCTGCTGCATATATAAAAAAAAGATTGTCAGATTATGAAACAGATGCAAATTCCTCATGACCCTCTTGATGCCTGATACTGCAGGCCTACAATGATCTGTACCTCATAGTATCAGTCCTCCTGTGTCTAATAGCGGAGAGTAAAATTCCTAAAATCCCAGGGTATTTGGAAACATCCAGTTTGTCCCTACATTACATTTTTATTTTCAATTTTCCCACTCAATTGCTTCAGCCAATCAATTACACATTTAGTTATGAAGCAAAAGTGTATGAACCTACTGTCTGGTTCTGGCTAATTTTATTCTGAAACTCTGTTTGAGCAAAAGTTTTTCAAACTAAAAGCTTCTTTCTCTGTGGCTCCTCGTCTGCTCCGTCGTCCCTGCTTTGGCTTCAAAACACATTTGGCTTGCCTCACAGTTTCCTGATGTATCGACTACTCTACCAGTTTACCTTATCTAAGGGTATTGCTCGAAACTAGGCTCCCACTTCAATCACTTTAGGATATCTGTATGACCACAGAAAGAGCCTACTTCATGCTTCATGCATGCATGTCTGCAAACGCTGCTAGTAACTGCATACCTCTTGTTTACCCTTTTTTTTTTTTAAAACATGATTGCACATCGCACTGTAATTACCAGTTCAGCAAAATATCTTATAATTTTTGTTTGCATTTGTTTACCTTCAGGTATGTAGTGATGCTGCTGTCATTGTCCACACATGCCCGGATAAGTTGGAAGGCAAATCCCTGCCTTTTCCCCATCCCCATCCCATTCTGAGACCTTAATGGTTACCTCCAGTGATAGTAAAGCAGAGTGTAAACACTCTCCCATTATGCCAGTTTCCAGGCCTTTTTAAGGTGAATTCCAGTATTGTGATAATTGTATGTCTTGCAAATAGCTTTTAACCAGATTGAAATGTTTGGTGCTTTTAAAACAAAACTAGCCACCCAAGACGTTTGTGTGGTGATACAGAGCCTTCATCTAGGCTTAGATGTACAACATGGGGATCCCCATACAATTATATGGCTCATTGACTGTACACTAATGCTAAATCATGATGTAACTCTAAAGACTAATGATTTGAATTGAAAAAAAAATAAAAAATCTATCTTCTCCTTGAAACTCTCCGTGTTCATTCAAGAGAGACACATGGGTTAAAGCTGGCCTACATCTAAATACTCAGAAATTATTATTCCTCCTGTTCTAGAAAACAATCTTGGGATTAATGGTTCTACCATGCTACTTTCCTAAGCTTCTATATAAGAACAGACATCTGGTGTGCTTCCCTACAGCAGGAAGAAGACGCCTGCGACTGACAACAATCTTAAATGTGCATTTTGCATCTTTTCCCGCTTTGTTAACCAACATTCCTTTTGTTCATTGCTCTTCTCAGTACTGAGGTTGTATCAGCCCCACTTCCAACCATCTGTCTGGTTTTTAGCTTCTGAGAACTCTCTCCCCCCCAAATCCCACAAAGCACTCTGTTAATCATTAAGGTGACAGATAATACTCCTCTTGTATTTACTTTACACACTTTAAGCCAATCCAGTGTCATTTTCAGATTAGTATTTAACGTGTTCCCATCCCCATTACTTCTGTTGAGTGTAGGTTTCTGCATTGTGAATTTTTGCTTTCTTGGCTGCAACCCCACCCAGCGACTACAGAAGCACTGATATCCTGTAGGCTGTGATTTGCAGAGTGCTGCTGGACTTCATCCAGCTGACTTACCCAACATCTCAAGAGTGATATACCCATTACTAATGTGACTCCTGAAAATGATATTTTCTACTCTGGATGCTTTCACCGACTTTCACCAGTTTATCACAACTCACTGAGAGGTTTGAGGACGTTTGCGGTGGATTCATCTACATTCTCCACATCCGACTTGGATCCTTCCGTACTCTGTTCGGGTCGTTCCCGCTTCTCCTTGTGGCTAGACTTGCGTCTGTGGCGTCTCCTCCGGTGGTAACTCTTGGGAACATGCACACCGATGTATACAGTGTGGTGACCTGCCACAACACAACACAATAGAGGGAACACGGATCAGATTACACTCACAAAAGGAAATCACATTAATCCTGAAAGCTAGTAATCTGTTATCACTGCTGGAAGAACAAAAACAATGCAGAATGGTTGATCTGGTGTTATGTGGTAGGAAATGTTTGCTTATGACAAGGCTGCTTTGACACATTTTTTTTGGCTTTTGGTGAGACGGTTGGTGGGAAACTATGTGTTGCTCATTTCCCAATCAGGAAGAGATACAGCCTCTTGTCAATCAGTCACATTGCAAAATTAAATAAATGCCAACTACTTCCGACACAGCAGCTCATACAGGAAATGATGACTTTATGTCTCTAGGAAGTAATTAGAGAGACAAAGAAGGAGAAAGAAAGCCTTACAAATAGAGGGCTTAACTGCCCAAGTTGAAGCAACCATGTATTTTTCCATTGAACCATTCATTCTAAACATGTCTTGTGGGTTTTAATGAGATCTTTCACACTGCACAGCGGTCAGTCATGCATCCATGTAGAAGTAAAAAAAAACACCTGAGGTGCACACTAAACAAAGCGCTTCCACCACATACCCATGAAGGGAATATGCACAAACAGCTCGACAAAATGCCAAAATCTCTGACAGGCTTCTCTTTGTGTGCAACCTTAAAATGTTGGTTTGTGAAACATGTGAATGTCTCAGCAAATGCATGAGGGCGTCTCCAGATAAATTCTTTTGTGGCTTTAGCCAAGAGCCTGCATTGGACAGGATTAGGACACTTGAAGAAACATCTTCCTGTACAGCTTAAGTGGAAATGAATTCATTCAGTGCTGTGCTGACACTAGAGGGGAAACAACGGTTTTCATCGGGGTAGATGAATGGATAAGTTAAAGCTCATCATCACGTGTCAGTCAGCTAGATAATGTGCTGGTAGACGTGGTTTTACCTTCTACTTCCTCTTCATCGCAGACATGCTTGAGGAAGGATGCTCCTCTGTCCAAGACTGCTTCATCCTCCACTCTACAAGAAAAAAAGAGCAAAAACTGATTAAATATTGATCACGACAACATGAAATATTCTTGCAACTATAGGTCTAAGAAAACATTTTGCCCCAATTTCTTCCAGTTTATCACCATCATTCCCACCAACATAAGCCAGTTTGTAAAAACACATGAAACATAAATATATTAAAAAATATATACTTAAATGATGAACAAATGACAATTCTTAAAATGAATTCAAATAAAAAAAAACTGTTTAACCAGTGTCAGTTGCAACCCTCAGGCCAATAACAATCAGGTCACAGTAAAACACTATCCTGGTAATGGATTCCAATTCAGCAACTTCTTATTCAGCTTACTAATGCTGCTGAATATGAGCTCAACTGTCGACCTCCAACTGTGGCACAACAACCAAAAAATGACTACATGTTACAATTAGATCAATATCAAGACATGTTAATTCTGGACTTCCATCACCCCAATCACTGTCGTTTTTCCTCATCTGAATGAATGCGATGAATGTACAAAAGCATTATGATTTTAAAAGATGAATAACTGCATTACAAGGCTTTGAAAGTAGCTGGCAAGCTTTAAAGTGCATTAGTGTTCCTGGCACTATGGCAATTACACCCACATATGACCAAAATGTCACCGTCCCATCCACCTACGATGCTGCACACAACATGAATAATATATTTTTTTAAACCGCTTCTTTTCCACAGTGATTGTATGTATAAACTACAAAGCATTTGTATCACAGTGAGATGGACCTGCGCCATCTGTCATTTTTGACTGACAATCATTCTGGACTTTCTAGTGCACAAAGAAGGCTTTATGTTTACTTCCTGTTCCCAACAACGTCAGAGACATCTTCACCAAGCCCCAACCTTCCTGCAAGGTTGAAAGGAATGTGGCTCCTCCAGTGCAGCAAAGTGTGGACTAATGGAGGCCATGAAAGGTGGTTTAGGCCGCAACATATTGCACACCCCAGTCTCAGAATATACTTTTGCCAAAACAGCAACAAATGGAAAAAATTACAATGGCTTCTAAATGTAAACAGTAAATAAAAACCGTAGCATTTCATGACACTGGGAATACATTTCTACTGAGGCCTCATCTAGCCTGTGCCTCATGGTCAGTTCACTCTGTCCAACTGTTTCGAGACTACATAAGCGTGTCAGTATCAAATTAAGAATTCATCTGCCGTGGCTGAAATGACCAACCGCTTTAGGAGAATAGTTTTGTTAAACAACAAAAAGTAAATATTTGATTTGGGATGCGTATCAAGAATGTCAATAAACACATCAACAGTTTCCATTTGCCACTGAACAATCCCCAACTGAGGATGACACGATTCGAAAAATGAGGGGATGGGAGCAGTACACAAACCGCTAAATAAACACAGTCAGGAAGGATACAACTTGTTCCTCCGATTGCACAGCGAGCTCATCTGAAATCCCCCCGGTGGATATGGTATCTGGCCTCGAGAGAGAGATAGAGGTACAACTCTGATAAGCAGACGTAAATGTTGAGCCACCAGCTCCGAGATGAAACAAGTGATGGGGGAGTGGCCCGGCTTGGTGCCAGGTTTACAAGCAATGCTAATACACCGATTAGCCTCTGTACCCTCCTTTTGTTGCTTACAAAAAAGAGAGGTCAAGTTCCCACACAGGGTCGGACGCTATCATTTAGCTCCAGATTTCTTTGTGTGTTCTGTTCTGCTTGTACTCCTCCAGAACAGTGTACAAAAAAATAGCAGCAGCTTCAGGGAGTTACTTTTGTGAAGAACTTGAACTCAACCAGTAATCGTAATACAGAATAAAGTGTTCCTGAGAATGCACATTCAAAATGCAAAAACTATACAAACAAATGGGCGTTGCTATTTTAATGCATTATTGAGCAAATATTGACCATATGGGGAAAACGGGCTTCAGGATACTTCTGGGAACTCAGTCTTGTAGCCTTACTTCTGCAACAGGTACCGAACTGTTGGTGATGCTTTGTGTGTGTGTGCGCGCACATGGAGGCAGGGTCATGTAACACAGCGAGAGGGCCTTCAGAAAACCGTTGGCCACACAGGAGAGCAAAAGAAAGCTCATGTTGCATGGTTTACTGCTGGCTATAGCTGGTCAATGGAGCCAAGTTAATCACTGAGGCCTCAGACAGGGAGACCCTCATGGTGAGAAACATACCACAGGTGGTACACAGACATGTAGGATGCAGTGGAAGAGTTCTGCATTCCTGTTTTGAATGGAGTGCTAAGTCGAAAACAATTAGACCGGTATGTAAAGTGGAGTGAAATGACAAAGAAAGAGGTGATGTGAAGAGAGGATAAGAAATCTACTCTTCAGCATTAGTCAGCAAAGTCTAAATGACTTCAGGTAGCAGAAAGCAAAAGGGAGACTAAATACATATCTTGTGTATAAAAACATAAAAGGCAGATAAGATCCAGCGTCTTCTCATTACGTCATTGTAAATGCAGGAAATCTTCTTGATCTTCTTTTTCATTTCCTGCTACGACTTCCTCTGTCTGCTTAATTTAAAATAAAAATAAAAATTAAAAAAAATAGCTGGGTGTGGGTCAGAGCAACCAGCTGCATCCACCTCGCGCTGGCGAACATCTCACTTTGCTTCTGTTCTCGTTGATGACCTCATGAGGCTGGATAAACCTGTCGCTGCGTGAGGAGCCAGGATCAGCTGCTCGGGATCAGGGATCATCCCCATCTCTTTACAGAGTGACGCACCCAATCCCACCAGCCAGGTTCACAATGAGGGTGGGTGCCCCCAGGACAGGCAGTGTGACAAGCAATAAGGAGATGATTTTGGAGCCTTGGTACTGATACTCTAACCAAACGTGATGTTTTGACTGTCAAACACTCAAAACCAGACGGCTCGAGAAAGTGGCTGTGAAAAGTCAGCTCACCTCCAACAGAAAGAAGATGAATTCAGCCACCTAAAAATGAACTTTGATGTCGAAAAGTTAAAGCATTAAAAAGTTCATAGAAAGTACCTTGCACAGTAATCAACCTTGTAGGAAATGAAACTTTTTATAGCCACCTTTCAAGTCTACGGGAGGTGATTTGTACTGAAAGGAAAGTACACTTAGTTATTTTAGGGCTGCAATTAACAATTTTCATTATCATGTCTATAAAAAAAATAATGTTAAAGTGAAAAATGTCTATTCCAGCTCCTTAAAGTCAGCTTCAGATGTCTTGTTTTGTCCAACCAACAATCCAAAACCAAAATATGTTTAATTTACAATAATTTAAAGAAAAAAGAAAGAGCTGGGATGAGAGTGTTTGAAGTTTTGGGTTTTAAATATAGAAGGTTGTGGCAGTAGTTTATAGTTTTATAATTGAAGTGTGGAGAAAAAAAAAATCTTAAAAAAAAGAAAACATTCAAAGTCATTATGCACGTCTTATGTAATAACTGAATTGTAATTCTAACTCCCTGCTTCTCAGGTCCGCCTTGCCTTTTGGAATTTCCTCTTGAATGGATGAGGAAATGGATGGATATCTATTTGCACAGAACATCACTCAGCAGTGCACAAAAGAGCATTCACGATTCCAGTCAGCACCATGAGGAAGAGTCACACCAGTGGACTGACAACACCAAGTAAAGCGAATAACATTTCCCCATTGCAACCCGTTTCATAATCTCTACAAAAGACAGAAGAATGAGGAATCTGTTTTAGTTATTATGGTTTCTCCTGTCATTGTTAAGGAGTGCACCCACTCGTGTTAAGTCACCATAGGTCACTGTACACTTTGAGGAACGGTGTGCAACCTTGTAAATATCAGTGAGTACCTCACACTGGCTGCAGGTCATGATTATGAAACAGCTGCTGAATTCCAGCTGCATGTCAGGAAAGTACGCACAGACCCACAAGTGTTTTTCCGTGTTTGACAGTACTCTGGCAACCGCGTCATTGCGCAACGTAAACGCACGCTGGCCCGAGGCTGAATGTGGATTTTTGGGGTGTCAGCTCATAACTCCACATGGTCTGTGAGGAGTACACACCGCTTTGCTCATAAAGTTGCACCGGAGACACTGCTCCACCACTTGGCCTGCGCTCCCTGCGATCTCCCTTAATTGATTTTGACAGGTTCTTGGAAAAAGGATTACCGGCCGTTCATAGCCAGAGCGATGCGGCAACAGTGGTTTATCCAGCCAAGAGTGCAACTCCAATGAATGAAAACATTTATTAACTTCACTAGAAGCCTAATCAATACTCCACTGAAGTTTCACCAAAAAGGCATGGTAACCAGTGGTGAACTAAACCCAGATTTACGCACAGAAAACCCTCAAATCCCACGGGATAACACACCGAACGCGTTTCAGTTTCATATCAGTAGGTGGATGATATTCACCTGATGCGTAATATGCACCTTTCCACCTGGCCAGGAAATGCCCTTAAGGTATGGGCGGCAAGCTATAAGGTAAAAGTTCCCGAACGGCCACACATCTTTAAGCAGTTTAACAGAAAATAGCAGAGATGATAAACTTACTTCTTTTCGGAAGTCATGACGAACTTCGCCTTCTTCAAGTTGTAGACGGGGTTTGAAAATCTTCACCTACTCTTAGCTGTCGCGCTTTTTTCTCTCTCTCCCCAAAGTGGATAAACGTGACAAAGAAGTCGAGCAGCTGGAGCTCTTTCGCTGGAATGATTTCTCCGACTCTACAAATCTACTTTAACGACGTAACCCACGATCCTCATATCGTGCTGGACTTCTTCAGGTCGTGCCACGGTGACATCGTGAAAAATAGAAGCTGGTTTGGTGTCTTGCTGGAAGCGTGTGGAGAGACTCTGTGAGCGCAGCGTGTCTTTTTCCATATTTAAAGTGCCATCCCTCCTCCTGTGTGACGCCACCGTGGGGTGGAGGTCAGAAAGTTACTGCTGGGTGGCGCACCAAAGCCTCTAACTTGACGAATGGTTTCTCTATTGTTCACTTTGTACGTTAATAATTACCTTATAATTTCACGGAAATTATAATTCTCAGATAATATGAAAGCACTAAGACTGGAGCACTTTCTCTGCGTTTGGACACGAAACCCAAAAGTTTGGACCAGTTTATGGCTTTTATAATTTTTTTTTACAAATACTTTAAACTTTTATTATTAATAATGGCAGAACATATGTCATTATTTTATACTTTTGTCAAATACCTGGACTCAACTAGTCAGTGCTGATTTATTTACTCATTTTTTCACTTTTCCCATCCGTGCCTCATTAAAGTTTCTTCACCTTGCTGATCATTCTGATCTCTTTAATTATAAGCAAATTAAAAAAAGTGAAAATTACGGCACCTATTTCAGGTAGCTTTAATCAATCCTATTGCAGCTACCAGTTAAAGGCGAGCTCAGCAGTCAGAAATAGCTGCTGTTATGGAGACTGGCGACATCTTCTGGAAGAGTTGTGAGACTGAGACAGGGGCCAGAGGTGATTTTGTGGAAATCA